AGCCTAAACGGACAGAGCCGCAGCCGTGCCGGAGCGTACCGCGCGCCAGAGGGGCCTGCTGATCCGCCACCGTAAGACCGCGATGAAAAGGAGGAAGTGAAAGCCGGAAGCCTGGAACCCGAGCCGACAAGCCGACCCGGGAGGAAGAAGATCAACAAAAAGTCCCTCCACAGGGTGCCGGTAGGGCAGTCCCCATCCCCAGTATATGTGGCCATAGGTAGGGATAAGCGATTAACTGTAAGCCGCTCAGAGACCCCCTAGGGGGTTCGAGCGGGGTAGAAAGTCGAAAGATAAATAAATAAATAAAAAACCTAGCCCCCCAACCCAGTGTTCCCTCTAAGTTCCGCAGTGTTGTGAGCAAAAATTCTATCCCATGAGCAAAAAAATCTAGTAGCATTAAAGTTGTGAGCAAGTCTGCATTTGACTATTGCATAAATTATTTTTATATTATTTCTATAACCTTCTGAAAATCTCAGAATGCATTCTTTTAAACTATATTTAAACTATAGTTTAAGAATAGTTTAAACATTGTAAGAGAAAACAGAATCAAGTCAAATTTCATTTCACAAAATGTTGTCCTCTGCAGGGGTAGACCAGGCCTCTGGAGAACAGGTCCACCTGCCTCTTTCCACTATATGGGTAGACCTGACCTCCAGAGAACTGGTCTATCCACCCCTTTCCACTATATTGGTAGACCTGGCCTTGGACTGTCACCCTGCGCTGACCCTTAGAAAACATACTAGCACTTAGAGGGGGGGGGGGAAATCTTGCAGTCTACTTTGGGGTTTTTTTAGTGAAATATGAGAACCAGCATTACAGGTCAAGTATAACAGAGCTGGAACAATCACTGTCAGAACCCTTCCTAACCTAGCAAACAGGAAGTTGCTTAAATGTTATCAACCAGCCCAAACTACTTATTTATTCAGATATTTATATCCCACTTTCCTCTGTGACTCAAAGCAGCTAACAAATCATACTGAAAAGCATAATAGCAGTGTGCAAAAAAATCCAATGGGAAGTCAAATATGCAAACAACCTCTGTGTTCCGAGGCAAAGGCCAATGAGGCTGCATATGCAAATAACCTCTGTGTTCTGACTGGCTATGGGGGGGGGGAAGGAAAAGCAAATGTTTAGAATGTTGGATAGGGACAGATTCTGTGGATAGGGACAGATTCTGAGTGACACACCAGGGCGTCAACCAATTCCGGAGCATGTGGAATGTTCTAGAGAAGTGCCACCACCATTCAGCTTTTATATATAAGGGAGATATTCTATATATATTTCGCTTCTAAATCATTATGATAAGATGAATTACAATAAAGTAAAATAGAAAGTAAGATACAAAAAAGAAATTTATTCCTCCATTTTTTTACTCTGCTCTCTTAAGATCTTTTACTAAATTCTGTTCTTCCTCTTAGCTGGAGCTCTTCTAATGGGCTTTCCCTCCCCCGGGACTCCGGAGCAATTCCAGAGAAGACTCTCACTGAGAGTCTTGCCCATTGGGGAGGTGTGTGTGGGGTATCCCAATAGCCCTAACCGTGTGCTACACTTTAAGTTTCAGGCTACTTTACTTGGGGGAAAATATATAAGGCAAAGGGGGAAGGGGGGGGGGGAAGTAACTCTATAGCTGCAATCTCCCCCGGTGTAGGTCTTTGCAGTCTTCTGGTGCGTTGAGACAGGTTTTAACATTTTTTTAAAAATCCGAGACTTCTTCCAAATTGTTCGGTTTGTATCATCCCTGTTTTGTTTTTAATGTAAATTTTGATTGCTGATTTTTATTGCTGTCTGCAGTTATTGATAGCAGTGCTGGTGTTTTCAAAGTTTATTTTTCAATTGTGAAGACTAGAACCTTGATTTCATGGGATATTGTAAGGAATCCAAGTTCCCAAACAGATTTAATATTCTGTATGGCTCAGCACGTGCGATAAATGTGCATAGCAAGAACAGTTCTGAGTTTGCTTAACACAGATGGTTCCTGGAAGACTATCTCGTCAGCTGGGTCTTTCTCCTTTGCAGACCTTCAGTACCTTTTCTTGCTGATTCCCGTTATCTGCTTCGGGCAGTCTAATTGCTTTTAAGAACAAACAGGCTTGCTGGACTCAGTCAGTCATCTTCCTTTTGAGGCACATGGACATGCAGAATGAGCACTTGTTCCCTAACAGCTGATGCTTCCCAGTTTCCCCTACCAGACCGAGTATATCAATGAAATTGGCAAGCCAGCATGGACTGCTGAGTCACTGAAATGTGGATTATATTCTTGAAAGCTTCATTTTACATTCCTTTAGGAAAGCAGACATGTTTGGCCAAATTACCCTCTAATTCACTGACATATGAGGGTCAGCCAGTGAGACTTTCCAGAAGCATTTAGCTGTGCAGAAGCTTTGGAAACAGGCCATCTCTTTTCCCCCAAGTCTCTCCCCCTCCCTTTATATTTTCATTTTTTACTAATACTTTAATATTTTTGCAGCCATAAGAATGTGACAGATCGTATTGTGTGAGGAGATTCATAACTTTGGTTATGTTACTCATATTTTATGGGGTATGCTTTCCAGTTAGGCTGTTTCCTACCACCAGTTTTTTGATTCTATGAAACTCTTAATTTTAGTGCTAATGGTAGTGTATCACAGAATGTTATCAATTAGTTTGAAGTATGATTTTAGGAATTCCAGAGCATTCTTTGTTTGTGCATGACAAGAACCAGTCAAGAATTCCATGGATTTGTGAATACGCATTATGTTGCTACTCCACCTCCTTTAGCCGAAAAGCTGAAGCCTTCCTGGTTTGGAATTAACTGTAGATTGATTATTTGACCTCTGAACTGGGTAAAAAAGCCAGGTTTCTAAAGGAGGATTCAACCATGGTCGTTGTCTGAATGCAGCCGCGCCGGGGGGGGGGAACGTTGGTTGAGGCCGAAGGCGGCGTCCGCCCGCGGCTCCTGCGGTCTTTCCCACCATCCAACCCCCCCCTTTCTGGTCTCGGCTGTCAGCCCGGGGGGAAGACGATCCTTCCGAGCCGGGGGCTCCTCCTCAGCCTGCAGGGGTCAGCCACGTCACGAAGGCACTCTGGGTCACTCGTCTCACGCTCCCGTCCTCGGCTGCCGCCAGATTAAAAGACCGGCGAACAAATTGAGACGCTTCTGGAAAGCAGCGAGAGCTTTTCCCTTCTCAGGGCTCTCGGGGGTGGGGGGGTGGGAATGCTCCTTCTAAGCTGTGGAGTCTTGTGAGCAAAAATTCTGCTTTGTGAGCTACTGGCATTAAAGTTGTGAGTGAGTGACTTGGCTGCTGCATGATTTAGTTTGCTCTGGAGCCATCCTTCCTGAGTGGAGATAAAAAAGTGTGAGCCGGAGGCTCAGCTTAGAGGGTTCTGATGCATCCCCGGCTCTTGCATGCGTGGACGGTAGAGGCGACTGGCCTGATGTGTTTCCCCCCCCCGCCGCCCTGGGCAGGCTGTGCATTGGCTCTTGAGTTCTGGCCGGCTGGCCGGCCCCTTCCCCCACAGCTCCCCACATCTCCTGGTGCACGATGGATGAGCGAACAAAGTCAGGCAGGAGGGAGGGGGAAGGTGACCCGCCCTGACCCCTGAGGGAGGGAGGGAGGGGGGAAGCCTCCACCAGACTTAGCTGCTGGCACAACTTGGCTCTGGAACAGCGAGCCGCCTGCCACGCTTGCGACACGGGAGGGGGGGCGGGTGGAAAGACAAACTAGCCGAGAGCTCCCTCCCCCCGCCTTGACGCGCGGAGCTCAACAGCCTGTCCCCGAGAGGGAGACTTACCTCCGGGGTCCCCTTCGAGCACAGCGGGGAGGACAAGAACACACCATTCGACTCGAGGGTGCGGAGAGGAGGGCCGCGGCTGTCGATGGGCCCGTCGCCTCCCGCCTGCGCCCGGCAGCCAGACCCCGGGGGGACAGGGGGGACAACTGTGGGCGGCTCCCAATGTCCTGGATGGGGCAGGTGGTGTCCCCGGGCGGGCCAGATATCAGGTGGCAGCTGCGCGGCCGTGACGAAGAGTCCTCGGCGGGCTGATTGATCGGCCCCTCGCTCGCCCACTCTTTTTTGCAGTATTCGCTCCATAAGATGCACACACTTCCCCCCCACTTTTTTGGGGGGGAAGTGCATCTTATGGAGCGAAAAATACGGTATGTAAAGCTCTCACTAGTTATGTACAGCTAACACAAATACTAGCTAATAGCTAGTGACTGGGTGAACACAAATAACCTTGAGGCAAGGTCGAACCCCCTCCCACTGCCACCCAGCCCCCACCCCGTTCCTCAGGGCATAACAGTGTGTAGGAAAACACAATAAGCAGAGCTGAACACTCTCATCATACTATGAGACCCAGTGGCTTTTTTCTTGGGAGAAGCAATGATGCTTAAAGAAATATAAAACTGAAAAAGGTTTATAGTGTAGATATGCCCCAACTTAGGTGGCATGAACTTAGATTTGCTAACCTCCAGGTGAGACTTGGAATTCTTCTGGAATTACAACTGACCTCCAGACTATAGAGATCAGTTTCTCTGAAGGAATTGGCAAATTCAGAAGGTGGAGTCTGTGATATTGCATCCTTACTGGCTTCCCTCCCCAAACTCTGCCCTCCCTGGGTACCTCCCCCCAAACTCCAGGAATTTCTCAAGTTAGAGTTGGCAAGCCTGCATTAACTAAGTTTACAACTATAGTGCAAAAGAGGGGGAAATATAAGTTTTATTCATTTTTTTAAAAATGGTGGTAAAATATTTGACAACTAACTGCGAGTTATTTAGCAAATTCCTTAATTGTAAGGATGCTGAATATGACAAGAGTTAAAATATAGAAAGGGGAATGTTTTAAATTTTTGCAGAAAAGGCTGAGATGCTACAATTTGGGGGGAAAAAACTTGAAGTAAATAATTCAGCCTAATTGCATATGTCTGAGATGATACGGAGTACATTTTCTTCATTATATATTTACGGAATACACTGGGGATAGTTGAATGCTAACCCATTTCAATTATTTTAACATTGCAGTCTACTCATATTGCCCGAGCCAGCTTCCAAGTTGATGCTTTTGGATCTTCTTTCATCCTGGATGTAGAATTAAATCAGTAAGTACATGAATATATGAATATGTTGATATTAGAACATTATGTTTGTATTCTTGGTATGGGATGCAGTATATTTTGATGTGTTTCTAATATGGTACCAGTCTTAACTGGAACCTTTCATGGTGTCAGGCTCGTGAATGCCTACGAGCTGTTGATATGGGGTGAACAAGAGTTGGCTTCTGGTGGCCAGGTAGGGAAATTTTGTGAAAGAAAAAAATAACTAACATTGGTATGTGTGGACAACCAGGTTAGTGGGTGCTCAATTCAAGAAGGTGGAAAATACATATTGTAAATGCATTGTGTTCCTTTCAAGGATCCCAATATAAGCCTAAAAGGTTGCTTTGAGAAAAGACAGTCTTGTTTTTTCTTTAAATGTATTTGCCAAGTTTTTGTCATCTAGGCCTGTGGTGCTAGCAGCCACAGAGGAATAGTTGTCCCTGATCCGAGAGCATGCATTCAGTTTTTGGCTTTAATCCAGCACAGTGTGCAAGGAGAACCCTATGCACACAAAGGGATGTTATTATCGTAGTCAGTTTGTACCTCCCCTTTGCAATGCATAAATATTATTTAAACTCCTCCCCTTTTTGTGGCAAGGATGTACATTGCCTTGTATCTATTTGCTAGCTTTACAGCTATAGAGGATGTAGCCATGGCTGGTTCTATGCCATTCCTACTGGTTCCACGTCCCATCTATCCATTTCCCACCTGCTAGTGGATAGAGAGCCATGGTGCAAGGATATGGATGGGCAGAGCCCAGCTGCATTCATGATTGAAAATTTGGTGGGCTCAGGAAAGTGCTTAAGTTCAGTTCTTTTCACCTAAGCACTTGTGTAGCTATCTAGGTTGAGAGCCTACATGTTTTTGGAATTCATGCCTAACTTCATCCAAGCCGATATTTCAGAGGGTGTTGAGTCTTGTTGGGCATAGAGTTGGATCCTATAACTTGGTTCATCCAAGTTTTTCTCCCACAGAGAAATACTTCCATCAGCAAAGACAGACTGTTCTTTACCAGAGGAAGCATCTGTCCATCAGAAAAAGTCATCCTCCATTGAAGGAAGTCTTTCTCTGTTGAAGAAAGACTTGGTAGAAGAGAGTCCTCTAATCCAGTTTAATGGAAGGGGAGTCATAGGGTCCATCCTGTAATATGGGAGGAAGGAACAAGTGAGGAGGAGGTAGCAGCAAGTGAAAGGAAAACATTTCTCACTTTTTGTGTCTTATTTGTAAGTATGCTTCAAAAGCCAAAAATCCAGAAGGGCGAAGTTTAAGGCTATTTTATTTTTAAAACTCAGCTTATCTCTATACTTCAGGTTTGTAGTAAAGTAAAAAAAAGTGTTGTCTATACAGTGCCTTATATTTTACTGGAAAATTAGTGATATAAGGCAGAAGTAATATAAGAAGCGATAGCTGTGAACGGGCTGTCAGGTGGGGTCTAATGAAGTAAAATAAATTGTAAAAAATGGGGGGGGAAACCCAAAGCATTGCAAATTGACTTAAAAGTTACATCTGTCTTTATCCTAAAGAGAACAACACTTCGGGGTTCGGTTTGTGTCCATGTCTAGATTGGAGTAATAGGAATTGTCATATGCAATACTGAAACCAGATTTATATTTTCCTTATCAGTAACTCTGTCATATTGTATTGATTTTCTGTAACCCCATTTGAAAATTCCTTGATAAAAACATATTAAAAAGGTAAGTAGCAAATTTTAATTGCTTAAGAACCTAAAAGTGAATACCTTGGCTTGGTCCCTTCTTGATCAAAGAAAGATGGCTATTGCATACAGTGAATTTCAGTTCAAACTCCCGTTTGGACTGTAGTAGTAAACTTGTAACAGAAACATGACGATTTATTCTGCACAATAAAAATTCAGAATATTCAGTGCCAAGTCGTGCTTGCTCTGCTTTATATAGCTACTTTAAAAATATCAATAAATCATATTTTACATTGTGTGAAATGGAGGAAATAAAACTGTGTGATTGGTGTATCATTTTGTTTTTGGGTTCTTTGAAAAATGAAGCCTCTGTAAATATTGTATAACACAAACACATGAGCTTATGGCTGCTTGAGAAGACTATTAAGGAAACATTTGAAAATCATTTAGGAAAAAAATGTAATCAAATATAAGCTGTATCTTGAAAAAGAATGAAACGCCATTCCTTGCTTGGTGTAAAATGACATAGCTGTTGGTTGAAGAAGTACAGATTATGTTTTGCATCAGTTGAGAGAGATGGCCTCTTCCATGAAGGCGGCAGTTTCTTATTTTAATGTGGAACATGTGCAAAGCTGAGCAAAAGGCGGGCCTTTTATCATGAATGCATTTTTACATGTGTGGAACAGGTGGTGATGTGTGGAACAGATGAGTGTGTGTTCTGGGGTGGGTTGCAAGATGTGCTGCCGCTATTGCTAGAGGGAGATGATATCCCTTGCAAATAACCAGATGCCCACAAAGTCATTGAATTAGACTGCAACTTCACTGGACACCCCACCCGCTACATCTGGGATCCAGAATAACTTGGCCTAGTTGACTTGTGGAGCAAATTGGAGCAATGAGATTGGGCAAAATACTATTTTGGAGCTTAAAGTAGAACATCTCGATGGTACCCCTCCTAATGGCAAGAATATGACCATGGACTGAGGTGGCAGTTTTCTATTGCTTTTAGTGAAATCCTAAAGTCCACTGCCTAAGGTAATATATCTGACTCTGCCTAATGCAAGGGCTGCCCCTGCAGTGGAACCTTTGCCTGTTTGTCCCAGGAGGAGTTGTTCTCCTTTGTGCTGATGTTATTGGGAATCACGTCTGTATGGGAAGTCGCATGTCATTGTACAAGATGGTTTGGGTAACTAGGAGCAAAATTCATAGAGACTGTGCATAGAATCCCCTTCAAATGAATGACTTAACTTTCCTTGGCACATAGCCTGTAATGTTTATGTTGAAATGTCATGTAAACTGTAAATGAAAAACATATTTTAAGTTTGCCCTGCATCGTGGAAACTCTTGATAAAACAGAGCAGCAGCACGCAGTACTAGGCAAGCTATGGCAAGTGGCCGAACCTGGATCAAGGACACTTGGGTTTGAGTCTCAGCTCCTCTCTGGTTTCCTCAGATGGTCTTGAGTACATAGTTAACTAAGGCTCTGAATCTCTGTTGTAAAGATCAGAGATCTTGAAGCTGTAGCCTTTATACTTCTGAGTCTCAGTCACATTTGTTTTTGTTAGATAAGGGTGCATGCATGCATCTTAAGTAAGATTGATTTGCTAATTAGTCCAGTCACTTGCCACTAATACTACTGTTGTATAGATTTTCCCCCTATCTGTTTTGTATTATTCTCTGGGGTAAGCAAGGCAGCAAATGTCTAATTAAAGCTCTGAAATAATTAACGGGTCTGTACAACTTTGTACAACTCTTCTCAAATAAGGTTTTGGGGAAGCCAGGTGAGAAATTTTGCATTAGAAGAAGAAGAAGAGATTGGATCTATACCCCGCCCTTCATTACCCAAAGGAGTCTCAGAGCGGCTTACAAACTCCTTTCCCTTCCCCTCCCCACAACAGACACACTGTGAGGTAAGTGGGGCTGAGAGAGCTCTTGACAGAAACTGCTCTTTTTCAAGGACACCTGTGCCAGAGCTTGTGATTGACCCAAGGTCACATCAGCAGGTTCAAGTGGAGGAGTGGGGAATCAAACCCGGTTCTCCCAGATTAGAGTCCATGCACTTAACCACTACACCAAACTGACTCTTTACCCCTTTTCTTAGCAGCCAGGAAGGGGTAAAGATGTGAATGTCTGTAAAAAAAAAAGCGGGGGGGTTTTTTTTCCCCAAAGGATTTTTTTTTTTTTCCCCCACTGGAAAAATTGGGAAATTTTGGTGAACCCTGAAAAAACGTATAAATGATGCATTTGCAATAGTTAAATCAGTGGAATAAGTTTAATTTAATTTAATTTAATAGGAAAGTGTTTGCATGTATTTCAGTTTTCTCCCAAAGAAACTTGCATTTCATTCTCATACACATTGCTATTTCAGAGCAAAAAGTTAGAGATGTGTCCTTTAGGATTAGGTCATGTATTATGTTATAGTAAAGGTAAAGGTTTCCCATGCTCGAAGCCAGTCAAATCCGACTCTAGGGTTGCGGTGCTCATCTCCGTTTCCAAGCTGACGAGTCAGCGCTCTTCAAAGACGTTTCTGTGGTCATGTGGTCGGCATGACTAAACGCCAAGGTGCACGGAATGCTGTTACCTTGGTTACCTTCCCACCAAAGCAGTACCTATTTATATACTTGCAATTTCTTGCTTTTGAACTGCTAGGTTGGCAGGAGCTGGAACCAGAGACGGGAGCTCACTCTGTCATGTGGCACTTGGGTCTCGAACTGCTGAACTACCGACCTTCCAGCCTGCAGTTCAGTGTCTTAACCACTTGAGCCACGCAGCTCCTGTATTATATTATATCATTTGATAACTGGAAACAGTTTTAATTGGAGCCAGTGCAAAAGTTCAGTCAACATACTAGGGTTTGCAACCCTTGGCTGGCAATCCCCAGGAGCATTGAGAGTGTGGAGACTTCTAAGATGTCAGTTCCCATTTTGGAACATGAAGTGATGTAATGATAATGTAGAAATTTCAAAATCTCTGCGGTAAAGCCACAGAGATTTTTGAAATTCCTGGAGCGTCATGTCATTTACAAGAAGTGATGTCCAGCTGTCAGTCAATGCCATTTCCCCCTCTGCTGATCCACTGAGTAAGGTTGTGGATCAGGGAGCATCCTAAGAAGGTCTTCTGCCAGAGCCAGGTAAGTGGCATCCCTACACATGGGCATTATTCAACTATTACTTAAACCTGTCTCCAAAGATTATTTCTGTCCGTGAAGGGTCTCTACCTACAACTTATCTGAAAACTACAATATAGCATCTCACAATAAAATATAGTTATGTTGTCTATATAAATTAAATATGTAATTACTCGTACTGACGTCTTCACAGATTGTTACATAATCACCTCAGCTACTTAC